TCTGAATCTTGCTTTTTAAAAATCTGTGTGATACACTTCTCATCTCTTATCTTTTAGGTTGCCTTTGAAAATAATTTTCTACAAGGATTACTTGAAACCATATCCCACTGGTTTATGCTTCTGTTGAGGCTTAGATAAGATACAAACGTGTGACACTACAGCACATGCTGAAATCCTTCTCGGCCGGATTGCCTTTTGCTACTGGTTCCATATTCACAGCAATCGGAAATTCAGAATCAGAGTTCTTTGGAGCAAAGCCCTTGTAATACCCATTTGCAAAGATTTATTAGTTTCAAAAAATATGCAATACACAATACAGAGTTACGCTTCAAGCTTGCACATGTGGGTAGTTAATCAGAGATATGGACTGGCTCCCAGACAAGTAGAAACTAACATGATCAGGAGACTTCAGTTTGGAAAAAAGATTACTTGACGCAGGGTATAACAGAGATTTACAAGAACAACAGAATCCTTTATTGCTTTTTCTCATAGTGCAAGAGACACTTGATGAAATACTTCTCAGAAGATAAAACAAACTAAAGTATTCTTTGCACAACATACAATCATATTGCAGAATTTATGGCCATAGGACATTATGCAGACCAAAGCATAAACAGTCTATATAAATAACAAAAAAGCTATTAAACTAGTTAATGGAGGACACATCGAGAGACAGCTATCAAATATGATGGTCTCACCATAAACTCCAAATCAGGAGGTCCCTCTAAGCCACTGACTACTGTAAGTGAAAGAATATGCTCAGAAAGACTACTATTTACTTGTCCCATCTGTAATACCTATTTAACTGTGACTACGTTTGATAATAGACTAAATGTCATAGTAACAGTTCTTATGGTGTCTGGCTTACCACACTGATCTATTTAACAGCAGCAGAAATGCAGGTGGATAAATCAGTATGCAATAACTACACTTCAGCTGATGTGCAGTAATGTCCTACTTCATGCAGAAGGAGCTCCTGTCTCCCAGGCCTTCTGTGCATGCTTTCACACTCTTCAAATCAGGGCCACCACGTGCTCTTTAGGTGAGGATGTGGGCCAGAAGATTCAAAAGTCAGAGGGTGAGGGCTAAGGAAGTGGCACATACAATGTCTGTGGGAGTAAGGAGAACTAGGGGCTTGTCTGGGACGTTTCGACCCTGACTACGTGCAGTCCCACATCAGCAAACCCAGAATCTTTAATGTTGCTTTCCCACCCCTCCCTGCATAATGTACTTCCATACTACACAGTTGCTCTGAGAAACTACCCTTGGAGAACAATTCACACAGTTGAACAGTAGTTACAACAATACGTGAAAAGGAAAACAAGAAGAAAAAAAATGTTAAGTGATAAAAGACAAGGGAGAAAAAAGCAAGTTTTCAATGATACTTGAAAATGGAGACTCAATGAAGCAGAAATAAGGACTGTCAGTATGGCAGGAGCTGGAAATGACAATAAAAATAACAACAGTCTTTCTAACCTCATGAGCCAGGGTATAAATTTAAAAACCAACAAATTTACGAAAAACAAATTGTTTTCCTCCATAATTTCTAAGCATCTGTGCCGCATCCTAATGCAAGGAAAAGCATACAGTTTAAAAAAAAAAAAAATCAAAAAAGGAGAACCCAGACAGACATATTTGGAAATGAAACATCTCTTCTTATGTCATTTGAATCAATATTATGAAATAAAGTGGATTATCTACCTGGATGTGTTGTGCAGATATATCAGGGGATGCAAAAAACAGTTGGTTGACACCTGCAGCATCTGGAGTTGCTAGGAAAACTTTTCCTGGAGTGGAATCTTGTCTGGCAAGGATCACCTTGCTTGGGGTAGAGCCATCATGATTTGTTAGGATGAACTGCTTGCCTGCTGAGCTCTGATCAAGTGCTGTAACAATCTGAATCTTCTGGCCCGTCTGCTGATCTGTGACAATCTAATAATACATTTATCTCAAATTGTTATGGTAATTTAAGTTCACTCTTAGGGCCCAATCTGGGCACTGAAGAAAATGGGATTGTTGCCCTTGACATTTGCGAAGTAGGATTGTCTCCCCCTCTGCCACATAAGAGTTAAGTAAACTCAGGCAAAACCTTGGATTTTCACTTTATTTTAAACACATTTCAATCAAGGGTGTTTGAAGTCAAAACCTGATTTCATATTCCAGGTTTTACAAATGGCCCAAGCTTCTACAGCACTGCCAAAACCTCTGACAATCGTAGCATCCAGAATTGGAGGTGTGTCTGTAACTCAGCCCTAGGACCTGTAAGGTTCTGAGAAATCTTAACTCTCCAAATACACTGCATACCACCAGAGGTGCTCGGCACCTCCCAAATTTGGATGCTTAACAAGGAACTTTCTAACATCACAACTGTACCCTTACTTCCAAGTGGAAAAAAAAAGGATTAAACAACAAGAAAAGCAATAATCTTGTTTCACCTGTACATACATTTTTAGGCTTTAGAGATATATATTTTTTACATGTATGTTCCTAAATAAAGTAAGTGAAACAGTAGCTCTCCCCCTGTCATTTTCTCTTCTTCTATGAAAAACTTAATTTCATGTTTCATCTCATAATCAGCAACAGGCCTACATCATTTTTTTTTCCGTTTCATCTCACTATCAAAATTTGAAAGTGCAACCATATACATCCAAAACATTAAAAAAAAAGCCATATACTTTATCTAGTTAGTTTTATATAATACCTAACTCAAAAAATATTATGTTGAAAATAACAAACATACAAATCTGAGCTAATGTTGAAGGTATTTTTTGATTATATATATATAAAATTCTGAACATACTGGAAACAATCTGCTTTTCTAAAGTAGTCCAGCCCCATATTATATTTGTAGACAATGTAGCAGAAGGACAACTGCTAATTCATAAAATCCATTTCATCTCATTTTTAAGAGTGCCTCAATTCTTCGAGCGGCTTCCTGGCATCCTAGGGGGCTGCCTATGTAAATCTCACTGTATAATATAGTAGAAATCCTGTGAACAGTGTTACTTGAACTGCTGTTATTTTATCCATGCAAAGGTAGCAATCTATATAAACGCTTTCTGCAGCCCTAAAACATTTGGCAGCTGACAGAGGTACAACAGATAACTGTTTTAGCAATTAAGAACAGCCTTGTCTGCAGCTGGCCTCTTATGGGCATATACCTGCACAAACTCCACTTAAATCGCAAAGAGACTTTGAAAGTGGGGCCGCCCATCTAAGCATAACAACTTGCAAGACCTAAACGTTCCATAATCGGAAAAAAAAAAATCACTCATCTTCTCAAAGGAACCCATCAGGGCTCAACAACAACGCATTATGTTTCTTAATAATCTGAAACTCAATATTGCCATAGGGATCATGCTATAAAACAAAAATGTAATAATTCAGGATTGCCTTCTTAAAAAAAAACATTTTCACCAAGTCTTTCATTTAAGCGTCTTGATGGTAGCGGAAGATAGTCCTGACTTCTGTTTGAACATCATTTCAATAAATGAATTACCTAAATAAGTCAATGTTCCTGTTTTAGAAGAAAAAGTATGTCTAAACAGATGCATAATCCACTAGTTTATAACAGAGCTGGAAATGTTGATTTAAGAACAACGGTGGCATTCAACTTTTAGCCTCAAAACCAAAATGCTAAAGCTCCCTAAAAAGGGGAGGACTAGTGAAACATGTTTTGGAAGAACATTTTACTGAGCATTTTATATTTCAAGATGTCACATCAAGCAAAAAATATTAACTGAAATTATAAACTCAGAATGAACCAATTTAACATATTCCTTTTGAACATCTCACTGAAATATATTCCTCCTACAAGCAGTTTATTTTTGACTACCAATTCTGCTTTTTGGAAAATTTTCATTACTAAGTTCTACCTCATATCTAATTTACTATTATTTATAGTGCTGCCATGTTTGTAGAGCCTGTTGCAGGAAGCATCCCATTCTACTAAGTGTTGCTCCACACATATCAAGAGACAATCCCTGTCTCAAAGAGCTCACTATCCATTTTGAAGCAAGAATCAGTGAGCGTGGTGAGAAAAGACACAGGACAAAGTAGCTGCGATAGAAACATGGGATCTTCCAGCTACCTGAGACGATGAAAAACTATATAAAGGCCTCTGAAAAATAACAACCCTTAGAAATACAATTCTTCCATGCTCATCAGATTTGCAGTAGCTGTAGTCCCTACTCCAAAGCAGTCCTCTTCTCCCCGTCCCCAGTGGCTGACACACAAGAGTGTAGAAGTCTGCAACTGGCTTTGAACCAACAGAGCTATCTTGCTGTTCAATAATAAAGGCTCATGGTTTTAGACACTGTCCCACATTCAGACCCTGATGCTGAGATTACATTAAATGGCTTCACATTACAACAGGCATTATAGCATACACAGCTTTTGATAGGGGAAACAGAAAAAGAGACAGCAATCGATTAACATAAACTAGTTATTTAAAGGTACACAAAGTAAAGGCTAATATAGAAAACTCATGGAGGTAGCTGAAAGAATAAAGATCTACTGGACAGGTAAGACTGGCACCATGAGTAAGAGCACAGGTAGAGAGGTGATAAAACAAAAAAAAAAGATCATGTACAGGGCAGGGGGCAGTTGTGGACAGTCTTGGAAGGTAGGACAAAGCTTGAATGCAATGCACTGAAACAGGAGATGCCAGTGAAAAATACTGAAGAGTGAAACAGCAAAAGAAAAAGCAGCCAAGATTACGCTAGCAGCTGGCTCACTTGGAGTGTCTTTCCAAGCAGCAACATGTATCTGAGAACATTTTAAAATTTATTCTGCAGTTGATATTTTTCTCTAAGAGGAAATTTAAAAAGAAAATGCTTGCATGGACTCGCACTGACTTTTAAGGGATGAAAAGTAAAATCCTATCCCCTAAATCCTCCTCATCTCCATTTACACACATCTGTGTTGATTATGGTTTAACTATCCACACTGCCACAAAACTTCCTATCTTGAACTGAATTCAAAAGGAGATTAATACCTCATTAGGCTACAAAGTAGCATATTGGGATATATAACAGTGGTTGGGACAGCCAACAAACAACATCCGTTAGTGCACTTCTCAGACTTTAGCTTGCCAGTACTTTTTATGACTTGTATCAATGATGGCAACAATACAGCTGCTTGCTGTGACCCATGTAGCATTCCCTCCCCCTGCAAAGCATAGAAATGTTCCAAGAACTCAGCTGAATAACCAAATCTAAAAAGTATTTAGCTTTCAAAGAGCAATATTATGATGATATTGGGAAAAGTCCTTTTCTGTTCTGTGTTTGTAATTTTGTTGATCTTAATATTCTTAGACAGAAAAGTAGGTTAAATTTCATTAGCTGGTTTTGGACCCAATTAACATAATTGTTAACTAATATAGGCAACAGATCCCAAACAGGAGGGAATTCTCCAGGTCTGAAAAGTAGAGTCAGTGTTGGAACGTTTTCTAGATCTTTTATTCCTGTTTACACAAAAATGGTCTCTGCCATCCAGGACTGAATATTTACATCCCAGAAAATAATATGAAGCAAATAAAAAAGAATCATACATGAGAACTGGCAGAAACAAATCCTTCATCACTGCTTGTAAAATATACTGGACGAAGCGTACCTGTATGCGCTGTGGTAAAGAGAGGCCTGAATCTGCAGGGACAATCTGTATTCGTTGTGCTGTCCCATCCATTAGTGTTTGTGTAACAGCTCCTTGCGAATGGGTAATCTAGAAAGAAGGAACAAGTACAACAGATTGACAACGGATATACACGGCAGTACTACCGCACGGTCTCACCGCTTCTGAGTTCCCTGCAGAAGCCTTTGGGAAGTGTGACACTTCTACGGTACATGGATTAGAAATGCTTGCCATCTAGTTTAATAGCTTAATTTTGCAGGTTAGAAAATTCTACTAATGTCAATGTTTTAAAGCCATTTTAAAATACCTTCCAACACAAAATTTAGAAACATTTTTGGTAAAACTATTCATTGTTGACAAATCCACGTAATCAGATTGAATATTTTCTGAATTATAACTGCTGATATGTATGAGAGACATACCCAACAGGACACCTTTTATCATAGCTGTGCCACAATTAGGCTAACATATTTTTACCTTAATGGCTTACTGAAAGTGACACCAGAATTTTTGGTGTGGAAATACAGCATTTGTCCCTTTTCGTTCTGCTAAGCCTTAAACCAGCAAAAATAAAATAACAGAATTCTATATTGGGGGATTATCAAGGAAGTCAGAGTAAATAAATGACATGTGTGAGGTCAGTGAGCAATGTATCTAAAAAACAAACTTAAATCTCTGTGTGAATGCTCTGAGACAGTTGTGGAAGTGCTTTAACTGTTGTGAATATTTTTAACTTCTTAACATGCTATAATGCAAAGGTAAACGGTAGAGAGTGTTACTCATTACATTATTTGTTAATAAATATTAAGTACAGCTGCCATTTACACAGGCTTGATCAGTAAGGCTGGACATACTGTAGCATAAATGAAATTTGTCTGCAGAGTTTTCAGATACCTTCAGACTGACATTTTTGTCTTAACCTAAAATCCCTAGCAACTCCCCAAACTCTTTGCATCAGAACTATTTATGCAGTCCAAAAATTCTGTAACATCTTGCAATTCTGTATTAGTAATAACTCCCAACACTTACACTATTATAAAAATGCTCTTATTCAATTGTTTTTTTCCCTAGAATTAACATACAGACTATATATCTATATGTGCAGTAAGGGTAGAGTTTAATGACTGGTTGAAAGCTTCCTGCTGGATTAGCTTCCTGATTTTGCTGACCAAATCACCACGTGCACGCTCAGTACCAGCACAAAGGAAGAGGCAAGACGACAGTCGGAGGCGAGTATGAGAAGGAGAAGGGGCAATGGGTATCACTTCCCCTTATAGCAGAAATACAAACTCCCCTTCGCCTAAGCTGATTTCAAAACTCCACCCAAAAACGGTATTACTTTTGGTACCCGTCTCAGCCCCTATAAATTACTTGCTGCTATCCCTTTAGCTTAACAGGCAAAACTGGTGGCTTAGTCACTCAGTGGACTAGGACACTGCAGGGTTAAAAAGCAGGTAGACAAAAGCTGTTCTTAATCTAGATCAAATCTTCAATCCAGGTGTCCACAATGCGAGATGCATCAAAACAATGAGAGGGTGGGATTAAGCTGCTGGGGGCACTGCTTAAACCGCCAGCAGAGCCCAAAGAAATGCCTGTCAAACCACTGCCCAAGCCAGTTTTGAATACTGCTTTCTAAAAGTAAAAGACTTTGCATAACTACGAATACTGTCAGTATTCGAACAGTTCATCCAATTCTTTGCTTAAGTAAATGACAAAGAAGAGTTCATGATATAGGAAAACCCAGAGCTTGCAAGAGATACACGCAAGTGCAAAAATTCTGCATCAGCCTTTCAAATGACAGCTATAAGTGGAGATTTACAGGCAGTTAGGGTTTTATGTGAATTTCTCTTTGCTTTACAAAATTAGCTACATATTCCAGGACTAGTTTACGCTTGCTCCTTTAAAGAGTCGTGTGCTGCAAACAGCAAAACCGCTTCGTAGCGTTCCCACAAACTGTCAGTTTGACAGTTTTACTTCCATAAAGAATAGAAGTTTTTATGGCAGTTAAAAAATACTACCGACCAGAATTATTACAGCTTTTGTTAGAAGTTATATTTTGCACGTGTCTGACAAGATTCTGTTTAGACAAATGTGCGGCTCTCTTCTGTTACTGTAACCTGGTAGGACTGCGGAAACAAACGACCACGTACTCAACGTTCAGAACCACAGCTCAAAGAGAGATGACTACTGGGGGCTCTTGATATACACGCCTCCCAACCTGAACTAAGGAATGCGATCTTGGTGTAGGCATATGAATTATCAAACACTTAACAAAAGATGACTAATAGCTGGCAGATTCATTGCCAGGCTATAATTTTTTTCTTTTTCCTTTTAGTAAGTTTTGCCTTCATGCAAGTAAGATCCAAATTGACAAAAGCACATCTTTGCAAACATCCTCATAAAAACATTCACGATAATTTTGTATTTTTAAATGTTACCTTCACAAGAATTAACATTATAAAGAAATCAGAACTACATCATAAAACACTTCTGATTATTATTTTAATGAGATACACGAGCATCTTCCATTTTTTTAAGAATGGAAAAAAACTGTTCTTTTCCTTCATGTTCCACCTGCATAAATCCTTCCTGTCAATTCATTTAAAGCCATTTGAATATTCAAGAGATTACAAATGCTAGCAAAAATACTGCTGAAGTTCCACAGAGCTTCAAATACGGTTTTCACAGCTCACATCCACTATGAACTTTGCCAAGCAGATTAGTAGTTACAGCCTTCGGGTCAACTTTGGGTAGGAATGGAAGATACTGTATGAAGGGCCCTGTAAGATCACTTCCCTTGCTGACTCCCCCCGTTCTGGTAGTGCACACAGGCGCACTCCTTTGACAGCAGTTTTGGCTTAGGGAGTCCCACCTTGCACTGCTCTGGTCACTCTTTTCACTCCTAACATATCTATTTTGTGCCAGGATGAGCTCCACTTTGTACCAGATAAGGGAACAGATCCAACTGGGAGGAAAAAGACCTTCCTCCGCTATCCTGGGTTGTTTTTTTTTTTTTCCCCCCAGTTCTGCCCACCACACAGTGACCCAGAGAGCCAATGCATTGCAAAGACTGAAGACTGGCACACAGTGAAAATAAGTGGCTAAATGAGGACTAGGGAATGCCTAAGCTGCAGTGCCGCCAAATAAGAAATGCCAGTCTCGGGCACGGCACAATCTTGTTAAAGGACAAGTCCTAATCTACACTGCTGACGGAATGATTTCCATGAAAAATGTAAAGGTGCAGTTCCAGAGCGAACAGAGACAATCCACCAGCTCCCTACCTACGAACGCAGCAAACTGCTCCCTCGCTCCCTGGTCTTCTCGCCTGCCTCCCCGCTGGCTCTGGCACACACCAGAGCCTTCGCGGACACTACTCGACTCGCTAACCCCAGCAGAAAACCTTCCATTGGTTCTGGCCGGGTTAGTTTGCTGCTGGTGTGGGAAGCTGAATCAGCTCCTAGAACAATTTAACAACTACCGGCACAAGGCAAGCGCCAAGGCAAGGACCTTCCCTTTCCCGCGGCGGTGAAGTGCTGTATCAGCTCACTGGCTCACAGAATCCCGTTCAAAAACGGAGAAACAACTCTCAGAGAGACTAAGGAGCATCATAAAACCCACCATCCTCTTTTCCAAGTGGAACGTGTACTTCAACCAACTGTGACTAGCACGTACTTTCAAACAAAGCAGAACATGAAATATAGCCATACCAAGACCTCCCCAAGGAACTATGGTACCAAAATAAAACCACACTGGACAGACCCCATAAAGGGGAAGAGGGAGAGAATGAATATACCATAACTGACACCTAACACTTATGTCCTTTGAGCTAGCTGCAGCGACTCAGATGCTACAATAATGAAAGGCATAAGAATTTATACAGAAGAGGATTGACGCCCCTTACCCCCCACCTTTCCACTTGAAATCAAGACTGAAAGAAACTAAAATTACTTGAAAAATAACTCTGAGTACCACAGCAGACAGGAAACCAGGTGGATATTTCAAGCTAATAAATATCATTTTTCTACTTCTATCTAATTTAAAGTAGCACTAATTTTAAGTTGACCACGCTATGATGAAATTTGCTAAAGAAGTATGTATATACTTATCCACATTTCCAATCTATCTGCGCATCTCTAGAGGCTCTCTGACTGCAGCACACACATTCTGTACACAGGTTACAGAAAATAAAAACAGAAGTTGGCAAAAACAAGAACTGAATCCTCCCTCTGCCTTATAACAAACATCAAAAAATATTGTACAATGAGGAGCACTGCAAACTTTTACTGACAAAAACAAAATGACAACAATTGAAGCAATTGCTTCAAATTCCACTGGAAAATGGAAGTACGTACTGAAAACTCTCCTGACTGCAAATTTTGTAACTAAAAGTGAGCAAAGCAATAATTATACAACCGGAAAGCTCTCTAAAGACCCCTTCAGGCCCCAGAAACACAGCTGAAGAACTAGTCACTTACTAGAAACACTGCTAGATTTTCTTTAGCTTCATTTTTGTTGGACAAAGTTTGGCAAGAAAGAATTTGCAGCGTAACTTTAAGATGGACATAGTAAGTTCTTCTAGTCTTCCATGGGAGGGTCTTCTCAAGCTTTGGGTATACTAAAAACTACTTTCTCTTGTGGCTTTGTCTTTTGCTTATCAGCCTGTGCATTTTATTACTCGATGTCTTTTAAATAGGACTCAAAGTTTATGTACCTCTCCCATTTGCTGTTCAATAATTTGATGGGCCAGTTCCTCTATGGTTGCCATGATCTTTAATCACCAGAATTTCCTGTCAAAGAAAGGAAAGAAGATGCTTAACATCTGTAGCCTCAATAGGAAAAATATCTTGGGGAAAAATACTGTTCACCTAAGTAAAGAATTTTCATAGTTGTTTGAAGGTGATGTTCCTGCAGAAGCTAAAGCTCAATTATGCTCTAAAAGTAATCATTTAGTTTCTCTTCGTGAACTTATCATTTTACACAAAGTAACTTGCATGGAGATTTCCTATTTTTCCCCACTGCTTTCCCAAAGAGCAACAATGTAAAAAACTCCATGTAAAAGAAGTAGTGTATTATTGACCACAACATCAGCAGGGATGTAATGAACATCTTAAAATTGGAATCTAGCCAACAATTTTGCTAATATATATCAAGGAAAAAAATCCTGATTTTAGTCCTAACAGGAGTGCTTAAAGATCAAATTTGTAATTAATATAAGGCACTACTGGGTGGCAAAAAACAGATATGTTAACAAAAAAAACTAAACCAAACCAAAAAAACCCCAAAGTTGATTGTTCTGCTATCAACACTGTAGCTATAGTTTAAGGAGTCCAAATCTTCCTAAAAATGTTGTAGGACTGAATAGATACTTATGTAACACAGCATGAAGTATTCACATCTAGGCCTTGTTTGTTTGGGTCTCCATCTACAACCATACGTTAGGCAGTATGTAAAAGGAACACGGAACAAGCACCACACTTAATCTTCTGTGAAAAGCTGTATTAAAAACACTGTAATATCTACTTTTTATACGAGCAAAAGACTAAAGGGTTTGTCTATATACTAAATTTACTTTGCTTCAAAGACAGTACACCTAGGTTATACAGGCTTCTCATTGCAGGCGAAGTCATAAAGGTGTTTAATACTGACATACATATTCCTGTATGAACAAAAGAATAAATTGTCAGTCCAAAATGATCTTTTACATAGTATGAAAGCTCTGAAAATTTTTATTATTTATTTGTTTTTTACAGGGAGCAATAGTATTGCGTAACCATCGAAAAAGTTAGAATATTAACGAAAGTAGTTACACATGCAGAAAAGCATTTAGGTATATAACAAATACACTCAGTTGATTTTTCATCTTTTAATTTCGCTGGAATTTCTATGAACTATCTCCTAGCCCAGGGATCACTAAACTTGCCCAATCAGCTGTGCAAATAGCAATGCAACTCATTTCATTTGAAGTCCATTCTGCTTTGAGGAAGAGAGATCTCATTTAACTAAGGTGAGAACTGCAGTTCCTTGCAGCGTGCCTAGTAGCCTACCAAACTCTGCTGGTGGGTGGGTGTCACTTAGAATACAGTATCTGACTTGAAAAATCTATCTTTTTTAAAAATAAAATACTAGCAACAAAATAATGCATTGTTAATACATACAGTGCCAGAAATCTGTACTACTTCATTTACAAAAAAGCTCAACTCCTTAAAAATGAATTAGAGAACTACTCAGTAATAAAGACACGCTTTTGGGAAAGACCAAAACTGGCAGTGACAGACATGTACTTTTTACAAAGACTTGTTTCCTAAGATGATGTTACTACTTTGTGACAATTCGCTATAGCAGAAGTATTGTGCATACAACAGTATTTTGCCAAAAACGAAGAGTAAACAAGTAAAATTCTGAAATTCTGGTCTGATCTCATAGGATGGTCTCATCTCTGACCCTGCTTTGAGAAGGGGTTTGGACTAGAGGTCCTGAGGTCCCTTCCAACCTGAAACATTCTGCGATTCTTTTTCAGGTAGGGGAACACCATGAGTTCCTTGCAACTATAAAAAATACAATATTTTTAAAGCAGTTTGATTTGCAAATTAATTATTCTTCTTTAAATAGCTGAGGAATCTTTTCAATGCCTCCACATAGACCTACTGTGTTGATATTTTCAAGAACACAGTAAAAGATTATCTCATTTTAAACAGAATTTCTACTTCACTAAGTGTCTAGTTTGAGCAGCTATGCACAAGAAAGTTCATTTTGAATAGTTTGACCCAATTTTATCCACTAATAGTGATTACGGGCTTAGTACAAGTGAAGAATATTTTTCACAGCCTTTTCAGATACTACGACCTGCAAATCATTTACCATTCTACAAACCCTCTCTCTAGCCTCTATTTTCCTGAAAGAAATTAGACTACATCAGTATCATTATCTTTCCATCAGAAAAGCAATGTCTATAATCTTTCCCATAACGAGGTATGATTTATGACATTCTCAATTTTGGTCACGTTTATCAGCACAGCCTACAGTTTCTTTATTCGATACTTTTCTAAACCTCTTAGTATTTTGGCCTGCAGAATTAGCATGTTCCAACAAGAATAGCGAATTCTAATTATGAATGCTATAGCTGTCTTGCACTGACTCGGCAGCATATAAAAATGAACAATACAGTACAGGGAAAGGAAAAGCTTAATTCATAGGCTATCTTGTAAAGATTTCAGTCAAATACTGAAAATACTAAACATGCAAAAATTAGAAAATAACCCTCACAGAAACTGGCACAGACTCTTAGGGAAAAAAAAAATCCTACCTATGGTATCTGTGGTACTGTAAAATTATATTTAAAGAGTCTCTGCATCTTTAATGTTCTCTGTCATACACCTATACTACATTAACATATGGACACATTAATGTTTTTTTCACAAAATCCTGGAATGAAAGATGGAGAGATCTGCTTTCTCCAGGCCTCCATTATTACTTGAGCCATGGTCTTACCAGGAGGAAGGGTCTTCTCTTTTTAATATCACCACCTCATTACCATCTTACCCAAATCCATTTCACCACCAGAAGGGCTATCCCCAATCTATTCCTTGGCCTGAGTTTCCAGCCTCTCCCTAGTGCCAGCACTGGCACATCCCTGACTGCACAGCCAGCAGTAAAGTTTTATTTTTGCCTATGCTAGTTCTCAGCCCAACAATGGACTTGCGCTTACTGCGTGACTGTACAACACCACGGCCGCACCAGCGGCGGAGCAGAACGGCAGGTTCACCCCTTTTGCAGCGGCAGTGATTTACAGCAGCTTAAGCCAGGCACGAAACCACATTTGAAGTCTCTTATAATAATTTTCCCACAGCTCTGTAACTTGTTGTGATCTGGGCCTTGGAGTTAAGATAGGTTTATTTTTGGATCTTACAGACTAATCTGGTGAGGAAACAATAAATAGAGGGTGAAAAAAAGCAACAGTCCTAAGGACAGAACAGGCACCACTCATGATGGAAAAGCAGTCTCGTAGAGACTTTATTCCAGAAGCGAAGGTACTGTGGGATTAGGAGACTGATAGGGATCTATCTTGTTGCTTCCTCTCGTATTTCTAGGAAGGATAAAATTTTCTATTTATTTTTGACATTAATAGTCGAAGTTGCTTTTAAAAAACAATGCAAGGAAAACAGTGCTGTTATTTCATAAGAGTTTCTGAAAATGAGTTTATTTATAGCTAACTCTAGTATTCCTACAATGAAATGCTCTGCATCAAAGACAGTAACAGATTTTAGTCCTCCAGTTAACAGACATTGATCTTTTTAAGCCCTAACAGAGAACGAAATGGTGTCTCATCTTCACGTGTAATTTAAGTTTTGTTCCACTTTTATTCCTTTAAGTAAATGCTTGATGAGTAAAAGGAAGTTATTACTCCTTATAATGTTAAAGCCTAGCTGCCCTGGAATGTACATATGTAGAAAAGTTATTTTTGCATGAAATTTGAAATTAACAGATTAAAAATAATACAGAACTCTTACTTAATCCTTATGTTTTGTGTTTGCAGCTGACCACAATTGTTATCCTGATATGCATGCAAAATACTCTTAAGGTCCTGGGAAACTGAACCAAACGTGGCTAAAAGTGGTGCAAGATTATACCTCACAAATATGCCATCTTGCTTCAAAACAGATGAGAACAATTAAAACATGTTAATATCTTTATAAAGCGATCATGAATTATTCAACATTATAAAAGTTTTCCCCCCCCGACTCTGCACTATGCAAAGTGAATAAAAAAGATTTTATTCTCTTCCAACAGTTACTGAATACACTGATATCCTTAAAATCGGCTTCACTGTTGGACTTCACAATTTAGTTGAACGCACACTGGAAACATGAGCTTATTATTCCCTTTGTTTGTGTCTGGACCCCACGTGCCCCAGAGGGCCCTGCAGGCTCTCCCCTGACACGGGGTCTGGGTGCTGGTGCCCCAGGTCCATCCCGCGGCCCTGCTGTGGCCTGAGCCCAGGCCTGGCTGCTGCCCTGCTCTGCTCGCGTGGGTCCCCAGGGGCTGCGCCTCGCTGGGGACAGCACGGCCAGGCTGGCCCCATGGTCGCCCCGGCTCACACCTTCCCTGCTGCAGCAGCACACTCCGGTTGCTCCACGACATTTTAAGATGTTTAGGAAGAAAAACATTTTCTCCTGTAGCTATAACCATAGTATCCTTCTCTCTTCAAATTCTTTGAAATAACTGATGACAGTACATTTAATGTGTCCTCACTTTTCCAGGGCTACTTATTTTTAATCAGTTTTTTGCCTTGCCCAGCTCGTTACGCTTCAGTCCTGATTGCTTCCTTCATCGACTTCCCCTGCCAGCCCAGCTCTTCCCTGCGGTGCTGATGAAGCATTTGGTCTCCGAGCTCACGTCTGATAGGCAAGCAAGCAAGCAAAGCTTCTTCAACAGTATTTTCCTTGAGCTTTTCCCCGAGGCCAAATTCTGGCCCCCATCTTTCATTAGCTAATATAAATAGTTCATTATTGTTATTTAACAGTAAATCTTCCAGGATAGGGAACTTCATCCATTTTTTGCAAAGTGTAGCCTAATACAAAATGTTTAATGACATACCCAGACTGGATTACAGCTATAACCCACATTTCTGCAAATACAGGTCTGTAAGGAACATTTAATATGCCTTCGTCAGCCAGATATTGCTTCGCTAAATTCTTAAAAAAAATCCTCCCCATGCACTTTGTGCACTATATACATAAGTTGCATATGCAATCTATTAACACCCTAACAAGTTAGAAGGCAGCCATTCAGAGTTTATAGCGATTA